ACCTTAAAAAAGCAGCGCCAAGTTTTTTACAAGAAAAATTTATTTATTTTATTTTAATTAAATACTTTTATTTTATAATGTTACCTCTTTAATTCTTTGTGATTAAAATAATTCTTTGTAATATTATAATTTTATCAAGGAGAATTAAAACTACTACCACTTGGGTTGATAGAAAGACTCTCAGGAATACAAAGATACATACCACTTGGGCTGAGTTAGGTATATAACACAATTTTGTTTTATTTTTTAAAAGTAGTTGCACAACAATTATTTTGTAAAGTATATATATTTTCTTTGCAATTGGCGCAATTTAAAGATTTCACATCTTTTTTTGAAATACGTATCACTTAGGTTGAATTAGGTAACGCAATTTTGTGAATTATTTTGTTAGGGAGAAAAATATAAAGCTACTATACATATCATTTGGGTTGAGTTAGGTAACGCAATTTTGTGAATTATTTTGTTAGGAAGAAATAAAGCTACTACCATTTAAGATTTTTAGATTTACAACATACATTGCGCGTGTACTTGGCGCCTTTTTTTACCTTTTTTTGAAAAAGGTAATTTTGTACTGATTTTTTTAACCTAAAGTATATATAATATCTCCTATATCTTTATTTAAAGGAATTAACGGAAGATCATCAAGCAAAATGAATATAATTTTCATGATTTTTGATAGCTGATTACGAATTCAACCTCAGAATTGCAAAATTAATTTGTTTAAACAAATTTATTTAAACAAATTATCTGAAAATAATATTAAATATATAAAATTATACAAATTATACAAAAATTATACAAATATATATTTATTGTGTAATACTAAATAAAAGATATTATAAAAAAATAATCAACTTTTATTATTAACAATTTAGATCTACAAGGTGTTACTTCGAAGGCTTTTTCTATTTTTTCTATGTAATTTTGTCTGCAGAATGATTTTAAAATAAATATTCATAAAAAATATTATTTTTAGATAATTTGTTTAAATAAATTTGTTTAAACAAATTAATATTGCAATTCTGAGATTGAATTCGTAATCAGCTATCAAAAATCATAAAAATTATATTCATTTCGCTTGATAATCTTCCGTTAATTCCTTTAAATAAAGATATAGAAGATATACTTTAAATTAAAAAAATAATCGTAAATTATTATTAACAATTTGGATTTAAAAGATATTACTTTGAAGGCCTACTATGTTTTTTCTATGTAATTGTATCCACAGATTTTGAAATGAAAATTTATAAAACATCTTACTTTGAGATAATTTGTTTAAACAAATTAATTTTGAAATTTAAAGCTTGAATTTGTTATCAGCGACTTGAAACATAGTTAAAATGATATCCATCTCGGTTAAACTATACCCTAGAAGCTTGTGTCTATGAAGGGATTACCGTTTTTTGCATAAATTTCATATTTACTGGATTGCACTCTATGTTTAACAATTTTTGTTGTGCAACAAATATATTTCCGCAGTACTACATTAATGCACAAGTCTTCCTGAGCATTTAAAAAAAAAAATCAACGGGATATCTTAAAAATTGTGCTGTCACAAGAATTTTGTCCAAAAACAGCACGGAATTTCCCACTGTGCGTCGTTAAAAATGACAAAATAATCGATTAGATAAAGCTGGAACAAATTTTAATCGCTTTGTTTGAGTGTCAGTAATGACATACTAAGTTTCGGACTTCTCCCGTGGTGTGCTTCAGCCGCCATCTTGGAAGAAAGGGGTGAAAAATCGGTTTTTCGCGAATATCTCAGTTTCCATTAGACTTAGGCTAAAATAGTTTTATATAATATTGTAGAAAATTAAATTATCTACAAAAAAATAGTATAGGTTTTTTTCTTACGACCAATAGTTTTGGCACTAGAACCAGGAAGAATAAGATACTTTTTGTAACAATTAAACGGTTTTAGCGACTTTATTTTGCCGTATCTCATTTTTCAGAGAAACGTAATGTACTTTTGAACTCGTTTCCTCACCATCTTGCGGTAAAGTTAGTGGCACGTTTTTTTTTATGTGGTATCCTCTGTAGGCCTAATCCACTCTTCTCTGGCAAAAATTTTTCTTAAAAATTCTTCATATAATTTTTCAGAACTTTTATGTAAACTTTAGATTTTTTTAAAATTTCTGTATAATTTTATAACTTTTTGGAAAATTCTCTAGCGCCAAAACTATTGGTCGTAGAAAAAAACTTATATTACCTTTTTTGTAGAGAATTTAATTTCCCACAATATTGTATAAAACTAGTTTAGCCTAAATCTAATGGAAACTTAAATATTCGTGAAAAACCGATTTTTTACCACTTTCTTCCAAGATGGCGGCTGAAACACACCACGGGGAAGCCGGGAGGTCGGAAACTCAGTATGTCATTACTGACACTCAAAGCAATTAAAATTTTTTCCAGCTTTGTCGTAATTAGTCGATTTTTAAATGTATATTTGCCGACTGGACTATAAAGCAATGGCATTAATTCACAGGAGGACACGGCAGAGTTAAGCAAGGATTACTTTCCGATTATCGAGGGATTCTCTCATATATAATTTTCCTTCTTACTTTATTTATATTTACCTTTTTAGTGTCGAGAATTGATGTTTCATGATATCTCAAAATTATTGTAACCCCGGCGCTCGTCCGTGTAAAGATACTGTATTTTCTTCCGACAAATAATTGCGCTCGAGTGATGTCTAGACTTTTTATCGATTTGACTATCAGGTAATACTACGTAATTTTTTAAGGCATGACTATATCCAATTTCTTTTTTTAATATCATTTTTTTAAATTAAGGCAACAGTCACATCGACGAATGACATCGGTACTTGTACAATCATGTTGCGACGTTAGAGCTTTTGACATTGTTATCACGACTGCATTTTTGGATTCTACAACCTTAAGGTTATGGTATCACAGAATGTCTTAATATTTTTATCATACTGAGGAAGGTCCAAATCAAAGGACCAAAACGTTTGTTTTATTTGATTAATTTTCGATTATTATTATAACCGTCGCCCGACCAACGTGCGTATTGGCTTTCGTTTGCCTTGTTTTTATATTCTTTATTTTTCTCAGAGAGCTTTAACCTTTGATATTAAAATAACACACTTGGATTTACAGTGTATTTACTACAAAAAAAATAGCGTAATTGTACACAAAAGTTTAGTTATAATTTTTGACTGTCTAACTCATGACGTTGTAACCGTCTATGTCTATTCAAATATAATCAATCAAATCATAAAAACCATATCAAAAAAGGCAGCAAAATTGTATTATTTTTCGGGTGGGGCCCTGCAGCAGTACAAAAACTTTAAACACTTTGCAAAAGTTTACTACTACGAACAATATTGGAATGCCAGCGGAATGGCATTTTTTTGTCACTGCACACGAAAAGAAACTCTGTGATGTAGGTGGTATGGTAAAATGACTTGCTGCTCGAGCAAGTCTGCAACTTCCTTCGGATTGACAAATAACTAGGTACATCTTGAAGATCAAACTTTTAATTTTTGAACATAAAATTAACTGTAAAAACTAAAACAGCATTTTTGAAGTTTTTTTTTCAAAAAGTACATTTCTTTCCAACTAATTTCGTAACCAATTTTTTTTACGATCCGATAGATAGAAGTAAAGTCACAGCTATTTAAATATTTTCCCCGGAGAAGATATTTCAAAACCTTGAACATCTATATCTCAAATATGACTTGAGATAAAAATTTGAAAAAAAATTTAGGAATACTTATTTCAGTTAGGGGAGACCGGGGCGAAGTCGGCCCCGGGCGGAGTCGTTTTTGAAATTATCTCGAAATCTGTATGTTATTGTGTGAACTCGCCATTAATACTGTAAACGTTATGGTGCCCACGTGACCAACGGAGTTTAGTGAGGTTACGTGCCAGTTGTGATTCTTATCGAAGTAAACGTGTTTTCGCAAGTCGAAAGTAAAATTTTTTCTGCGTCGAAAGTTTGTAATATCTTAAGTATTATTGTCTCTTCGAATCTCAAAGTAAGTGATTCTAAAGAGTAATGCTTGCTGAACACGAATCCAGTGCAGTTTTTTTATTTTCATTGATTTCTATTATTTTATAAGCGACCAAACCTAAAACTTGTGTTCGGGGCGAAGTCGTGACCAAGCCAAAACAAAGTCAAGAAAGCTAAATAATATGTGCTGCGTATGCTCGGAGATAATAGAAAACAGAGCCGATGAAAAACAGTGCATTTTGTGCAGGCGTAAGGCACACAACGAGTGCGTGCGCTCGTCAGACTCTGTTTTTACATGCTTTAACTGTTAGCAAAAAAGAAAATTGATTTTCTTGAAATTATTTTTCGTTTTCCATTTTTCTACTAAAAAACAATGAATAAAGTGTATTCGATTATTTTTTATGATCAAAATTATGTATCTTTATTTAAAATCCAGTCCGAGAATGAAGACACGATTCCGCCCCGGGAATTTTAACTTTTTGATTTTTGCACCTTTGTCGTTTTTACTCTATACCGGTTGAACAAAGTGACGTAGACAAAAAATGCTTATATAAATTTTGTAGCCAAAGGTTTACTCTTTACAATGGTATACTATATTTTACTAAAATGATTTATTTTGTTGTTAAAAATCGGCACCGAAAAAATAGAGCTGACTTCGCCCCGATCTCCCCTACCTGATTGTAATAAAAAATTAAGAACAAAATCAAAAGAAGTCAGGGTCGGCGATCGACCGATTTGGCAAAGAATGCCCCATATGTATAGTAATGCAACTGTAGCGATATTTTCGTTAAACGTATAAAAGACATTGGAAAAAAAACAGCAATGTATATGTTATACTTTTTTCTTTTTTATTATTATTAATTACATGGTTATTAGCTTATAGCGATAATGAATTAATGTATTAAACAATATTAACAATTAATATTAACAATTCATGTGGCACAAAGTTGTAGGATCATATTATCGCGCACGATCACACAACAGCGGAAAGATTACGATATCACGTAATCTTATTAAATGAGTCTGTCATTGGGACCAGAATCAGGATTTTCGTGATAATTGTCTATACTCCTGACTGACTCTTTCGTAATACCCAAACTTTTATTCTTCCTTCGTGGCGGCGTAGGGATTTGCTCCAACAAATCCTCCGTTACGTCTTCCAAATTTTGTATCAATCTGGTAGGTTTCTCAGATGTTTCTCCTACAGAGCTCGCGCTATCCTTCGTATCACCTGCGACGCTTTCGAAAAAGTCAGAGCTCGATCCTAGTTCCGACTTAACGACAGAATCTTTTAAATTAGGAGTCGTCGCCTCGTCTAAATTTTCTGGCACTTTGTTGCGCGGCGATGCCTCGTCATTTTTCAAATCGACGTCCAGCATGACCTTCTCTTCCCAGCTGCAGAAGGACACCTTTCTTTTCTTCGATGTCGACGTCGAGTCTCCGTGGAGTTGTTCCAAAGACAACCGATCTGTCTTATTCTCAGGCATACCATCGACTAGAATGTCATCATTAATTGAACGACATTGATCCGACACGCTTCTGTCGATTGCGTTGCGCTTCTCCACGGGTATGATTTCCGGCTCGAGAAGCTTCTCCACGGGCGTCGATTTGCATTCCTCGCTCGCGTTCTCTCGTTTCATAATTTCGTCGGGCTGATCCTCCTTCTCCAACATATCCGAAAGCGCTGCTTCGAGCTCGGTGAGGCTCGGCGTCATCGAGCTGAGATTACTTCCGTCGGCCGCCTCGTCATTCAGAACCTTCAGCAAGGCCGAATGATCGTTATCCAGGATTTGGGCTTTGATCTTTGGCTCCGGGCTCGGCGGTGGCGTTTTTACCAGCTGATCCTGGCAATCCTTCTTCAATTTATTCGTCGCGTCCTTGGCCAGCTTCTCGTCGAAGAAGTCGACCATCTCCTCGTCGACCCCCTCCAGCATCTCCCGCGGCAGCGACTCCTCCGATATCGTTCTGATTAACTTGTTCGTTACGTCGGAATGTGCCGCACGCAACTCCTTCGACTCGTACGGATCGTCGTACGGCTCGCTCTCGTTCGACAGGCTACGGCCGAACATCAGCCTCGATTGGTCGGATCGATCGGATTCCCGGATGACGGCGCCGTTTCTGCAGGACCCTTCGATCGTATCTGCCAAATGGAACGTCCGCGGTTTAACTAGTCACGTTCGCGAATAGTTGGGTACCTTCTACACTCCAGACGATTACCCGACAGGGATAGAATCCAAGAGCGAATAAGTGTATGGGATGGGAAGGGCACGCGGAAGCTGCGGTCGGACATATATTCGGTTTACATAGCCGACGATTTCTTGTAAATAGGGAGAAGAATTTCACTCATCGTCACTTTTTCCCCGGATTGAGATTTGTTACGAATCATTTTCTATGGAACTTTAGAACGAGCAGATTGCGATAAAATGTCGAGAAGTTAAGAGGATTTTATGATCAAAGACATTCATCGAAGTAAAGTTAGAATCTAACTATTTAATTTAATTATATCACAAAGATTTTTAAACTGTTAAATTACAACGTAAATCAATTTTTAACATTAATTTCAAGTCAACAAACTGTAAAATGGACTTTTAATATATTAATTGAAATCTTTTAACATATTACGAACTCGTATTATTTTTAAATATGTACATGTACACGGAGAGAATTTATTGTTATATTTTACCCTTAAATTTACTACAAACTTGGAACAACTTGGCAACCAAGGAATTTTTAAGATATACAAAATATTTTACAAACAACGTGATAAAAATTACTAAGCAAATTGGTAAATTTTGAAAAATTATTAAAATTTCCTAGATATACTTTAGTAAAATTAATCAAACATATATTATATTTTAATGTAATAGATATTAGTATTTTTTATCATGGTAGATTAAATCAGAATAGCTCGCATAAAATTCTTGGTGATACATGTTGTCCCACAACTACCATGATTTCAGGGTAAATTTTAAGAGAAAATTCTCTCCGTGTATATATGTTCGATTTTTCAATCGTTATATTTAATTAATTATCGTAAATATTTACCAAAAGCCGAGCGATGAAGTTCCTCGTTTAGAAAAAAAGGTTCCCTACGAACTGGCGAGGTCGCTAACTCGCAAATCGGTGATACTTGACAGATTTCCGACATCTTGGGAGGATCGAAGTACCTTAACGATCTGAAACATATTGACCATACGTTACAGTAGTATATAGTCAATCTTCTGAAATGTACATTTTTGCGTGGAAGACATCTTAATTAATTTTGATACCTGTTTTGATCTGTTAGCCATTCGTCAGGATACTTTGAGTCTCTACCTTCGTCTATCGGCGATGCTGTCTTGCCGAAAGATTCGGGTTTCTGCAACGACGAAATCATATCTTGAACGCACGAGATTTTCATCTCAGTCGTCTCGGCTTCCCTGGCTTCGACGTTTCGCGAGTGGTCGACAACGTCTATACCATCGGAAAGTCCACTTTCC